AATATGACTAATGCAACACATGCGATATGCAATTACTAGGCTCGGCTACTAATACGGCATATGAAACAATTTGATAGCATGCGGTCTAAGCACATATTCAAAGAAGTATTTAAACTAACAATGCGAGTTAGAATGATGCGCCGAGCCTCGGTGTATGCAATACAAGTGGATGCAAACATGAAGTATGCTAAACAAAACATGATGCCCTAAACCAACCATCATAAGCTAGTAAATAAAAGGGAGAAACACGTGGGGTTGGAAGACATGTACATTATTACGACATTACGCCCTCACATAGGAGGGTCCGAATAAACTAACTAGCTAACTAATCAAAGCTAAACTAATTAACTAACTATTACAAAATGAATTAACTAACTAATCTAGCTAATTAAAATAATTACAACACGAGACAAATTAGCTATTCTAACTAATTAATTATAAAGCCACTATTTCAAGCACAACACTAATATATTTAAAACACGGGTCCCGAGGATCGATGGAAGGCTCATGCATGAATGCGGTTTCCATAAAAAAAAAACCACTATTTCTGCTGCTGAATGCCTCTGTTGCACAGTAGAACACTTGTATTGATTTCCATATCCAGACCAACTCTATTCTGTTGGGGAAGTACACTGTTGCATTTTGCATTGGTGGCTGGCAGAAGGCTTGCCGTCCACTGATAATGGCCTGTCGGCCACTGCTGACTGGGTTATCCTGCTACAACAGAGAGAAAATAGAGCAGCGACAGGGTATTCTTCAAGGGTTTGTTTGCACAATTTGCCTCTCCTTATCATGAACAGCTCAAAGGAGTAGTAAGCTTGGTTCACAAACTAGCAATAGAAGTAATTTCATTGCATGATGGCCTATGAACCAAAGGGTGCAAGTTCAATAAATGCAATAAAACAAGACTCTCAAAACCATCTCCCTATCATGAAAGATCAAGGGAAGTAGTTGACAATGAATCTTGAACCGTTTTCATCACCAATGAGTATGAAACGACTCAAGACTCAAGGGTTCAATTAACGTCCGATTGAACCCAAACCAAGTTATTATCCTGCATCTTTTTTTAGCCTCAATTTTATTACTTCATTTTAGATTACCATCCATTGTTTAGTCAGTTGAGTTCAAAGGTGAATTTAAGTCCTCTAATGGAAAGAGGGCTCAAACCAAGAGTTGTTTTGGGCGTGAAAGAGACATCATACTGTTGGTAATGAACCCCCAAAGGGATTAAACCATTAAGCATGACATCTCAATCTCATGCTTAAACAAACAAGTAGTTTGAAACCACTTTCAAAGCAAAACAAAACCAAAAAAAAAAAAAAAAAACAAGAAAGGAGGGAGGTTGCAGAGGTGATTAAGAGTGATCACAAATATGGAAAGCCATAAATAAACACTATCAACTTAAATAAGATGGTGTTTGAGGCCTAAAATGCCAAGCTCATGAGGACAATTACACTACAAGCATGCAAAACAAAGCTCAAATGCAACAAATACTCAAAAATAGTCCCAAAAAAGTCCTAAATAAGTCCTAAAACATGCTAAAATTAAGACAAAAATAGCTAGAATAATAAGTTAAAACATGGGTTATGCTAGGCTAGTAAGCAAGACACCAGGAGGGGAGGCTAACCCTTCAAATTTTGGACTTCAAACCATGATTTTTGCCACTAAAATAACTCTAAAAATCAGTGTTTAAAAGCACAAAAAAAGATAGTGCAAAGGTGGGAAACATCAGGGTAAAGGCCTTGAGAGCAAGGTGTACAGAAGGGTAAACCAATCCTCAACCATTATTGACCTTAAAACCCAAGTTTCAGCCCAAAAATATAGAGTTTTTACAGCCCGAAAACAGTTGGAAAATAGTAGGAAAAAGAGTAAATACAACAAGTAAAGAGGCAAAACTTTATACCTCTTGAAGAGGAGATCACTTTCAAGCAATAAAACAAGACAAACACACCCTCAAGAGCTCAAACAAGGCTCACAGATACATTAGCTCAAAGATAGAGTGGTTTGGTTAAGAGTGTATAGGCAAAGGTTGAGAAATTTCCAAGAGAGAGAGAATTGTAGAGAGGGAGAAAAAAATTTGCTCGAAATTTTTTCTAACCCCATGGCAAGAGGGGAGGTCCTCTATATATAGAGAAACATGAACCTCGCCATACACGTGGAAGAAGATGCAAGCATCTATGCAAACAGATGACATAGTTATCACAAAATATCTGCAAAACACATTAGTGGCCGGCAGCCAGGAGCAAAGGTCGACAGCCTATATTAGTGGCCGGTAGGCCACCAGAGGTTGCTAGTCAGTTGAGTCCAAAGGTGAATTAAGGTCCTCTAATGGAAAGAGGGCTCAAACCAAGAGTTGTTTTGGGCATGAAAGAGACATCATACTGTTGGTAATGAACCCCTAAAGGGATTAAACCATTAAGCATGACAACTCAATCTCATGCTTAAACAAACAAGTAGTTTGAAACCACTTTCAAAGCAAAACAAAAAAAAAAAAAAAAAAAAAAAAACAACAAAGGAGGGAGGTTGCAGAGGTGATTAAGAGTGATCACAAATATGGAAAGCCATAAATAAATACTATCAACTTAAATAAGATGGTGTCTGAGGCCTAAAACACCAAGCTCATGAGGGTAATTACACTACAAGCATGCAAAACAAAGCTCAAATGCAACAAACACTAAAAAATAGTCCCAAAAAAGTCCTAAAACATGCTGAAATTAAGACAAAAATAGCTTGAATAATAAGTTAAAACATGGATTATGCTAGGCTAGTAAGCAAGACACCAAGAGGGGAGGCTAACCCTTCAAATTTTGGACTTCAAACCATGATTTTTGCCACTAAAATAACTCTAAAAATCAGTATTTAAAAGCTCAAAAAAAGATAGTGCAAAGGTGGGAAACATCAGGGTAAAGGCCTAGAGAGCAAGGTGTACAGAAGGGTGAACCACCCCTAAACCATTATTAGCCTTAAAACCCAAGTTTCAGCCAAAAAATATAGAGTTTTTACAGCCCAAAAACAGTTGGAAAATAGTAGGAAAAAGAGTAAATACAACTAGTAAAGAGGCAAAGCTTTATACCTCTTGAAGAAGAGATCACTTTCAAGCAATAAAACAAGGCAAGCACACCCTCAAGAGCTCAAACAAGGCTCACAGATACCTTAGCTCAAAGATAGAGTGGTTTGGTTAAGAGTGTATAGGCAAAGGTTGAGAAATTTCCAAGAGAGAGAGAATTGTAGAGAGGGAGAAAAAAATTTGCTCGAAATTTTTTCTAACCCCATGGCAAGAGGGGAGGTCCTCTATATATAGAGAAACATGAACCTCGCCATACACGTGGAAGAAGATGCAAGCATCTATGCAAACAGATGACATAGTTATCACAAAATATCTGCAAAACACATTAGTGGCCGGCAGCCAGGAGCAAAGGTCGACAGCCTATATTAGTGGCCGGTAGGCCACCAGAGGTTGCAGGCTTGAAATCCTAAGGTTTTGGTCCAAAAACAAGGCAACAGGGGTGCATGATTTGAAAGACTCAAAGCTGCGGCATTCCGCTGAGGACTTCGAGCATTTGACAAGCATATACACTCATCATTGGGTGTACAAGCGATGACGTCCAAGTCATAAGGGCCATAAAAAATGGGGTGTCTACAAGCGCCCCGACGATCCAAGTCTGGGGAGTGCCACATAATTCAGTGGCGACCTGGTCAAAATCCCCAATGCTGCGGGTAGCAAGAAACGAGGTAGTGGCAATTTTAGACTTCTGGAAGATTAAGAAACCTCCTAATGACCTCAGCATCAATGACTAAGGCTTTATTGCGAACCCAAGCGTGAAAAGACGAGGCTATCTCTTTGCTAAGGGGGTGCATATTGCAGTAGAACTCCCAGACCCAATTGAGATTTTGTGGACTGGAGGAAAGGAGAACCTAGTCACCCCCTAAAGCATCAAACAAGGAACGGATAGGTATGGACTCAAAAGTGCTAGGGTGGACATTCTGTTTTAAATGAATGGTCTGAGATACATAAAACTCATGATACAGGTTCGACTTCTCTTGGTATTGGAATTTGGGTATATTAAACGAAAGACGGGACACAGTGGTTTTTCGGTGTTTGGAAGACTCGACCATGACGGACAAAACTAACAGACACAAAGAAAAGAGCACTACAGATAAAACCCCAAACCCAACCCAAGACACCCCAACAGGTAAAAAACCAAGAACCAAGTGCAATCCCCAAAAAGCAAATTAACAACACAAATATCATTATTACCAAAGAATCAAAAACAAATATAGCAGGAGAATAATAGTATGGAGAAAAATGGAAATCCAGAATCAGAAATTCAGTAAATGAGAGCAATGCAACACCCAAAAAGCAAAAGGCAGCAGTGTAAGAAATGTAAAACTAAGCAAAACCCATATGGAACCAACATGGAAACAGCAGACAATCTGAAGCAAAAACAGACCAGAACTCTAAAGGACATAAAATAATGATGCATAAATGCTAGAAATGATGAACAAAAGGCTCAGAAAATAAAATTAAAAAAAAGAGGAAAAAAAACCTAAAGGTCACAACCAAACCCAACATAACATATAAATTAAGAGAGAGTGAACAAGGAAAATGAAATCGACAAGAAAAGAGAGAACATCTTACTAGTCAATCAGGGAATGAGAGGATGGATGGAGGAAAGGAACTCCCAAATCCAAGGATGGCCAAAGGACGAGCAGCAAGGATGATGAAATTGCCTTAGGAGAGAGAAAGCAATAGAGAAAAATGGAAAACAAATGAGACTGAAGTGACGGAGGGCACTATTTAAACCAGAACAGGTCGCTCGAGCTAAGATACTTATGAGCAAGAGGTCGCTTGAGCCAAAAATGCACGCACTCAAAATCTTGAACCACCTACAAAAGTACTGGATTGAGGAAAAGTTCACTCGAGCGCAAACTCTCTCGCTCGAGCGAAGTGGAAAAACCGAAACACCCTTAAACCACCCTTGTGAGCAGAATAAAAACACTCACACTATCAAGTGAGACCTGTAACAGAAAAGAGGTGAGCGCAATAGCAAAAATGTGATACTGAGATGAGAGAATCCATAAACCATGAAACCCACATACTTGCAATTTTGACAATATGAAGCACAGTGTCATGAGCCAACTAGGTAAACATCGATCAGTGAGCATAAACTACATAGGAATACACAATTCAAAGACAAACATGAGAGCTCACATAGTGAATGTATATGTGTGCAATCCTTGAAAGGCCACAAAGCTAGAGTTAATCCTTGTAGTGATCGGATGGTTGGACCTCCGACAAGAGTAACTAAACATCACTGAGAAAAGTCAAACCACTAGAAATCAATGGGTATTTGTTGAGTAAATGCAGAGGCTCCCCCTTAATCAATGAGCCCCCCCTCCCCCATTTTTATTTTATTTAAGTTTTGACTTTTCTTTCTTGTGGGCACTCACTGGTGGCATGCACACTCAAGAGTATGGAGACAAAACCATAGAACTATGAAAAAAATAAGGATGGGCTAGTTAGTGCCTTTGAGGTAGCCTTTTCCTAATGCCCGGACATCCAAAGAACTGAGGGAGGAACCGTGAAAGTGAAAAAAAATGGTACATGGTTAAGAGACTCAATATCACCCATGATATGCCAGTATAGGTCAATTCCTCTAAAAATGAATAAGAGACACTATTAGAGGTTCATAGAGAACTTTGATCACTTGTGCGGAAACCCCTGCACAGTTTATCTCAGGAATGAGAGGTGTTCATTCAGTCTAAGTGCAAAAGATGACAAGAATCAATGGCAATGAGATTATAACATCCAAGCACACAAACAGCCATACAGTAACACCCACTTATGCAACAGGACACACTCTAGGTACTAAGCACTACACCCAAGGTCTTTCTAAGGATCTCAAAACTAAAAAGATCAAGGGATTTTGTAAAATTATCAGCCTTTCGATGCTCAGTGGGTACATGTTTAAGAACAACAAGGCCCTCTTCTACTAATTCTCGAATGAAATGATGACAAATGTCAATGTGTTTAGTGCGAGAGTGTTGGATAGGATTTTTAGAAATGTTAATGGCACTTGTAATATCACAGAAAAGGGTGAGAGTGTTATGGTCTATACCATAATCATGAAGCATTTGCTTTATCCACAACATTTGTACACAACAACTCCCTGCTGCAATGTACTCAGCCTCAGCGGTAGAAAGAGAGATGACATTTTACTTTTTGCTATGCCAGGCAACTAGATTATTCCCAAGGTAAAAACACCCTCCAAATGTGCTCTTATGATCATCAGCACACCCTGCCCAATCGGCATCAGAAAAACCAATGATTTCAGCGGTAGTGTCGGTCGTGAACCAAATCCCATAGCCTAATGTCCCATTAACATACTTAATCATGCATTTGACTGCAAGCAGATGAGACTCTTTAGGATAGGCTTGGTAACGCGCACAAACACTTACACTAAATGCAATGTCAGGTTGATTGGCTGTGAGGTACAAGAGACTCCCTATCATACTCCTATAAAGGGTAAGATCAACATCAATACTAGAGGAATCTTTGGAAAGGTGAAGACTGGTGCTCATGGGAGTACATACATGTTTGGCCAACTCTAGACCAAACTTAGATACAAGATTTTTGGCATACTTGGTCTGAGAGACAAACATACCCGACGGAGACTGTTTAATTTGAAGACCTAAGAAGTAAGACAACTCCCCCATCATGCTCATTTCAAACTCATGTGTCATATAATCTGAGAAATATTTCATAAGAAAATCAGTAGTGGAACCAAACACAATAGCATCAACATAAATTTGAGCAACAAGTATATGAGACTTAGTATGTTTCACAAATAGGGTCTTGCCCCCACTACCTATTTGAAAATCATTATCAAGAAGAAATGTAATAAGTCTATCATACCACACTCGAGGGGCTTGCTTCAACCCATACAACGCCTTGTCTGGTGTGGACATTTTGGGTCCTCAAACCCTTTAGGTTGCTCAACATAAGCCTTTTCTTTCAAGTACCCATTCAGGAAGGCACTTTTCACATCCATTTGAAACAATTTGAACCCTAGAAAGCATGCAACACCAAGTAAAATCCGAATAGATTCGAGATGTGCAACAGGGGCAAACGTCTCATCATAGTCAACACCCTCTACTTGTGTATAGCCTTGAGCAACCAACCTAGCTTTATTTCGAACCACAATACCATTCTCATCAGATTTATTTTTAAATATCCACTTGGTACCTATCACATTCATGTCTCTAGGTCTGGGAACAAGAGTGCAAACTTTGTTACGTTCAAATTGACCTAACTCTTCATGCATAGCATTGACCCAACTATCATTTAGTAAGGCCTATTTTATATTCTTAGGTCCAATTAATGAAACATAGTACACATGAGATACCTTATCCTGAATTTGTTTTTGGGTTTTCATTCAGTCTGAGACACTTCCAATCATCTGTTGAGCTAGATGATTCAGTTTTACCCTTGCTGATGGTTTAAACTTTGGATTGGTAGTGACATGAGCATCAAAGGTGGTGTCTCTTTGTGCACTCTTTGGACTCGGACTTACCAATGAAGTTGGTGTGAGCTCACCTTCTTGTGCTTGGCCCTCTACTTCTTCTTGACTTTGTGGTTCAGTATCCAAGATTAGAGACTCGCCATTTTCTTCCTCATGTATAGCTGGAGTGGGAGACCCTGTGTCATTTATAACCACATTGATCAATTCTATTAAAGATAAAGTACGCAAGTTATAGACACAAAAAGCTCTACTAGTGGTTGAATACCCTATAAAAATACTTTCTTCACTTCAGGAGTCAAATTGGCCCAAGGCTCTCTATCTTTGAAAATATAACATTTACTCCCAAAAGTTTTGAAGTATTTAACATTAGGTTTTAACCCTTTGCACAATTCATATGGAGTTTGTAAAGTGTCGGGCCTTAAATACACACGATTTATAACATAAACAACGGTATTCAAAGCTTCAGCCCAGAACTTTTGAGGAACTTTCTTGCTAAGGAGTATGACCCTAGCCATCTCTTGAACAACCCTATTTTTCCTTTCAACAACTCCATTTTGTTGTGGAGTAATAGGTGTAGAAAACTCATGCTTGATTCCATGCATATCACAAAAATCTAAAAACAAACCATTTTCAAATCCACGACCATTATCAGTTCGGATTCTTATGATATGCCCAATAGAAACACCCTGTTTATTTTGGATTAAGGACTAAGGACTAGAAAACATCAAACGTATCAAATTTTTCTCTTAAAAAATTAACCCACGAAAAATGAGTGTAATCATCAACAGCTAAAAAAATATATCTTTTACCTCCAATGCTTTTAGTACAAATACGTCCTTTAAGATCCATATGAACTAGTTTGGCTGTGGAGCTGTTCACCTTTTTATGAGGGGCACGAGTTTGCTTCCCAAGTTGACATGGCCCACACACATGGTTTACATTTTTACCCATTTTGGGCAGTCCTCTCACTAGCTCTTTGTTGGCAATCTTAGTTAGGTCTTCGAAATTCATATGACTTAATCTTTGATGCCACAGGTCAAGATTGCTTATGATGGCTGAATGGAAAATGAGATCATTTGTGGTAACAATCCCATAGTAATCATCAGATGTGAAAACCCCATGCATGATAATATTTCTTTTCTTATCTAAAATTTCACATTTATTTTTTGAAAATAATACTTCATGGTAAGAATCACACATTTGATTAATGCTTAAAAGATTTGCTTTAAGGCCATCAACAAGTAAGGCATTTTCGAGCTGGGAAGACCGGCCACACTTATAGAGCCCATACCAATGACTATAGAAGTGCCACCATCTCCAAAAGTAACAATTCCTCCTTCATATTTTTCAAGAGATGCGAAGTATGATTTGTCACCAGACATGTGATGAAAGCATCCACTATCTATATATCACATGTGTGAGTCACGTGCTTTCAGTGCAGTGTGAACAACAAAACAAGTTAAGTCACTCTTTCTCACCCATATCTTTTTAGTCTTAACAGTAGCAGGACTAGCAGTCTTGGTAAATGTTTTAGAGTTGTGAGCATCATCATGAGTTTTGGTGTTCCGCCTAAACATGTAAGGTTGTCTCCTAACCCATGAAGTATTAGAATTTTTAATTTTTTGAGACACCTTACCAAACAACTCATAACAATAAGGACGAATATGGCCATACCTACCATAATGATGACAAAGAAAAATAGATTTTACCTCCCTTTTGTTGATCTTACCCCCTTTTAGTTAATGAAGAGAGGGATCACCCTGTTGAACTTTCAGTTTTCCCTGTACTTGAGTCTGCAGGTCATGTGATGTAAAGGCATGTCCCTTTTGAAATGTTATATCACCATAGCCTATCCCACTTTTGTCACAACTCATCTGTTGAGACCCAATGATGTCTTCAAGTTTCTTTGACCCTTTGTTCCACATACCAATCGTGGCTTTAGCAGCGTTGAGTTCTTCCTCTTTTTTATTGACCTTTTCTCCAAATGCAGCTTATGACATCTCAAGGATTTCAATCTTTTCTTCATATGTGTCATAGATTGTCAGAAGTTCATTCCTTTCGATCTCACAAGATAGAAGTTTTCCACAGAGGTCTTGCCTATCATTGGAGATCTTGATGACATCATTTTTTGTTGCTGTAATCTCTTCCTTTAGCTTGACATTCTCCCTTTCACATGCTTTGAACTTGAGAGTGAGTTTGTCATTGATCTTGGATAGATTGAGAGATTCATTGTAAACCTTTTCATAAGCTTGTTGTAGGTCATCATCATTAATCTCATCATTGTCTTCCGAGGTTTCATCATCTTCTTTTTTGCTTGTCTTTCTCCTCAATCTCATCCAGTTGAGCAACTAAGGCATGAAAGTTGATGGATGGTTGTGAAGATGACTCTCCTCTTTCATGGACTTGGCTAAGAAGGTCCTATGCATCTTTGGCCTTTGTGTAGTGAGCAATCCTGTCGCGACCCAAACCCGCCACTATGGGTTTAGCGTCGTAACCGCCCAGTAATCTGAGATTACCAAAGGCCTTCCTATATAATCAAAATAATTGGGGCTTGCGGAAGCAATAAACAAAAACACTAATAGTCCAATCAGCTATGCATCTATATGAATAAATAGTCACATGCAAAAGCGTTAATTTACCCACTTACATTACATAACATACAACAAAATATCTTATACAAAACATGTGTACGGGGTCAAATGTGTACAACAAAAACAAAGTTTGCTAATGGCCTTCCAGGCCTAGCCCCAACTCGGAGGCACCCAAAAACACTTGGTAGGCTTCAAAACGGTGGCTCGGTTAAAAACTCCTTCTAGACTTGTCTGCTTGCGGAAGCAATAAACAAAAATACTAATAGTCCAATGAGCTATGCATCTATATGAATAAATAGTCACATGCAAAAGCGTTAATTTATCCACTTACATTACATAACATACAACAAAATATCTTATACAAAACATGTGTACGGGGTCAAATGTGTACAACAAAAACAAAGTTTGCTAATGGCCTTCCAGGCCTAGCCCCAACTCGGAGGCACCCAAAAACACTTGGTAGGCTTCAAAACGGTGGCTCGGTTCAAGACTCCACCTAGGCTTGACTTTCGGGGCGCTCACCTATAAATACATATATAAAAACAGTGAGCTAAAGCCAAGTGAATAGCATTAAAGTAAAGGGATTAGTGAACGAATTCCAAATATATCATATCCGTAAAACAGATCATGACACAATCATTCATATCAGTCTCATATCAGAACATAACATAATGGTACATCTCACAGAACATATCACATATCGTCTTTCGACTAGAGTAATCGGTTTCGGATACTGATTAAACACATATCACCATAATGAAGTGGCTAACGAGATCTCGTATCACATATATGTCATGGACCCGCATTTACATGCCGTCCCCCCATGACTTGGGACTATCTGTGGATGTCATAATAAATTCACAAATAGGGCATTCGTTCACATAATCAAAATAACATTTTAGAAATTATAACATATCGCATAATAGTGGAAACATAATTCATATCAACATATCTTTATAGAAATGTTACTCACAGTGGACTTCCAGAACGGTTGGTCAAGTAGTCCTTGACTCGTGACTTACAATCACAAATATGCATAGCATGATACACAATTATCTTAAACATATTTAGTTCACTTAAGCTTTTAAATATCGATGGCTAGAATTAAGAATTAATTAGATTATTAATTTCCTTTAAACTCTAATTAAAACATGTTTAGTCTTGTATTAACCACACTAATTAAATATAAATAATCTAATCATATATAAACTCTTATTAAGTTAGCTAATTAAACAATCAAACTTTAATTAGGCTCATACACATTAAATTACAATTATTCAGTCATGTTTAAATTACTGAATTAGAAACTCATAAATATGCACATTTTGCAATTTCAACTCTATTTTCAAGCAAATCAAGGCCCAAATAATTAATCTTCACATTTATTTTCATAATCTTAAGCCTAACTCAATTTCAATTAAATTTAATTAATTCTCAACTAAGACTTAATTTGACTACATCTAATTTTATGAACCTAAATTAGATGCTTAATTGAATTCTTATCAGGCTCTAAATATCAAATTACACCCATTTTCCATTTTTGAAATTCAAGTTCATGAAACATCCATTTTCTCACATGCATGTCCCAAGCTCTTAATTACATGAGTAAATCTTCTAATTAATTATAAATTCAACTCAAGTTTTCCAATAAAAATCAAATAAACTTTTGAAATAAAATATATAGACATAGATATACATATTTGAACTTTAAAACTTTACATCCCATGGAATTTCCTTGCAAATTGAAAACCCATGCGAGGAGAAATGAGTATGAACACAATAAAATTATGCATGCTCAAAACTAGAATTAATTCTTCCAATTGGTTAATCAAAGACTCCAAAACTATCATAAACTATGAACCATATGGTCCAAACTTTATGATGAAAGCTCTTTAAAACTTAGAGAATTCATGAAGTTTATGCAAGAAAATGTATATGTAAACAAAGATATCATGAATTCATGCCATGCATGTTGAATTTAAGTCCAATTTCCTTCAGTTCTTTCCTAACTTAGCTTGCATGTTCTACTTTGTCAATTCCAACATTAAAGCTCCCAATTAATCAAGTATTCATCCTAATTGACCCTTTGTCTTAGAAGATGATGAGTGTGGGAAGTTAAATTTCAAGAAATTAAATGAAAATATTACCTTAACTTGATGAATTGTGAAGAGTTAACTAATTTTCTTCAATGTTCTTCTTCTCTCTATTCTTTTGTTCTTTTCCTTGTTTTGATGACTTCTCAGAATCTCTACCTTTTTCTTTCTACGTGTATAGCTCACCAAGGCCACCAACTCTCTCTTTCTATTGTTGATTTAGGCTCTAGTTCATAGCCTTACACATATATTAGGCTTAAATTTAATAGGCTAATAAATTAATTTAAATCAAATTCACTCAAATTAAATTGCTTCTCATCATCTTATAATCTCAATTACACTATATTAAATTATACTAATGTGAATTAGACTCTAATTGCTTAATTAATTATTTAATTCCAACCTATTAATTAGCGAATCAGATGGAATCAATTTTTAATTAAACTTCTTGGGTAACTCTATAAATTCCAATTAACAAATCCTTGTACTCAATTTTGATTTTTGAACCCATTTATGTCATCAATTTCAATTCCAAAGTTGTATTCTTAACAAATAATTTCCCAACTTGGACAAACACACACAAATTAAATCATATAATCCGCAATTAACACATGGATAATTCAAATAATTATAATTTGCATTTTTGGGGTGTTACAAATCTGTTGTTGTTCTTCTTCAGCAATTGCTTCCTGGATTGTATTCAAAACTCTTTGATTGCTCGGAATGTCAACTCTATCAATAGCCTCTTCAATTATTTGCCATCCTTCAAGGTCATGAGCTCTGAGAAACATCCTTATTTGGATCTTCTAGAATAGGTAATTACTCCTATCAAAGGTAGGAGCACAATGCAAATTCTGACCACGACCAAACTCAACTGGCTTTGGAGGAGGTTGAGTGATAATAAACTAGAATGCCATGTAGGAACTATCTCTGTCTTCACAGGATTCAGTTTCTTCAGGTTCTTGCTCTGACCCACTTTTATCATCCTAAGTTATGGTATAGACTTTTTTTCGGTTCTTTTTCGATGGACATTCAAGAGCAATATGACCAAACCTTTGACATTGTAACACTTGACACCTTGCCCTTTCACAGTCTTCTTTTCGGTTTTTGGAGCAACTTTTGGTGAATTTTTTTTGGGTTTTTCATTACCCTTATCTTTTGAACTAGGGTCCCTGATATTAGGCTTCTTTTTCTTTAATTTTTTTTTTTGAATTGTTTGGTAAACATAGCCATCATTTTGGACTCTAGATCAAACTCAATCTCAGGGGTCTTAGCAGTCTCATGAGCACTAGTCAAATCCACACTATCTTTTAGTTTTTTCTTAGAAATCTGGTGGGCTTCATAAATCTGCAAGTTTCCAACCAACTGATCAAGCTTGAGGGTATCAACATCCTAAGCCTCCTCAATAGCTGTAACTTTTGATTGGAACCTCTCACGTAAA